CCTTAGTCCCTGCGCCTGGCTAAGCATGTGCTTTAGCTTGCTGAGCTATCTGCCTGACCCAATAAATAAGATTTTTAAAAAAAATTTTAAAACAGAACAAAACAAAAAAATCCTCCAAAACAAAACAATAAAAGCAAGCAAACAAACAGAAAAACCAATTGGGTCTTTTTCTCATGGAAAATATATTTTTTTTTTTTCCTTTTTTTTTTTTGTGGAACCGGGGATTGAACTCAGACCCTTGCGCTTGCCAGGGAAGTGCTTATTCCACTGAGCCATCTCCCCGGCCCCCAGAAAATAATTATTGAACAGCTATATTTTCATTCCCCAAATTAGAAGGGAACTAGTGAAAACCATGACAGTACTTACATCACATCCATTAAGTTGTTTTACATTAATTTACTATTCAGTGTAAAGAATGAGCAGCATATGCCAAGATCCTGCCACACCATTTTGAACTGTAATGGCTATTGAAAGGAAGGTTGTTCTTGTCAGCTTTTAAAGTGAAGAGGTTATCCAAAAACATTGTTTTGTGAGGGCTGGCCAAATAGCTCAGCAGATTAAAGTGCCTAGAGTTCAATCCCCGCCTGCTGTGCCGGCCCTGCCCCCATGGCACACACTGAGATGAAGATTGCCCACACCTGTAATCCCAGTGCTTGGGAGGCTGTAAACTGGAGGATTACTGCAAGTCCAATTTACGTAATGAGACCCGGTAGACCCTGTACTAAATAATAAATAAATAAATACATTGTTTTGTGTGTTTCTGATTACGCTATGAACACTGTGCCTTAAATTGCAGTGACTTCTTAACCTGACAGTATTACTACAGTATGCTTGGTGTTTTGAATAGTTTAATTTAACAAAACTAATAGTTTAATTTTCATCCTTATGAAATATGATGATTTTTATTGTTGAAACACTATATCAGAGTTTAAGAAGCCTAAACTCTGATGAGATCTACTTTACCCAAAGTTATTCCTACATAGAAAGCTTCATTCCTGCTTTTATTAATTGACTTGTAACTGGAAGACATAGGGTAGGTTGGACTAAGTTTGATAACTTAGTGCAGTGCTAATTAACATGTTTTTGTATAGAATAGCAGTGGATCAAGGCTACTTCTGTCCTTAGCACTCTGTTTTATGTGAGGCTTGAAAGATAAGAACAAAGAACTATTCCTGCCTTTCAGTAAAATTAGTTTGGAAAGGAGTTATATCCCTTACATGGAAGAATAATCCCGAGGAATAAAGTCCCTGTAGTTACAAAGTTAATTGCCGGGCTGGAGAGATGGCTCAGTGGTCTAAGGCACCTACTTAGAACAAGCTTGGCAAAGCATCAGGGACC